ATAGCGCTATCCACCGGATATTATTAAATCACTATCCAGCGGGTAACTGTATTAGAAAAAATAAATGTGCCATCCAGTGGGATATCTGTCCAGTGGATATCGTTACCCAGCTTTAATTTTGAACAACTGAGGCGAGTGTTCCCTGTCGTATATAGAGGATATTACACGGTGGCGTGAAGATATGAATTTTATGTTCGAGTGGCAAGAACAATATCTCACGAGTGAGCGAGGTTCTTTTTATTATATGGAGAAACCAATTCAACAAAGGCAAAAGGCGGAAATCGTGACGTCATTGAACGATACGACACTCACAAAGGTGACATACGGAAAATACGCCACTCGGGTCCCGGATGAAGTGGCGTATGGAATCTACGAGTGGTTTAGTTCCCAGTAAAACACTCTCCTCCATATAATAATATTGGTTATTTTGTCTGCTTTTCTTTTTTCATTTTCGAGAAATATAGTAAAAGATTACTAGATGCAAACCGTCGTCAATAGGTTAAGGACATGCTTGGCGCTTCATTAAATCCCCACTAAACTGCTTGACAATATCAACAAAAACTTGCCTTACACGGCTGACATGCGTGCATTTCGTATGATACTACATGTAATTAGGTTATATGTGTATCCATCCGGTACCAATCCTTAGTTTTATTGACTTTACTTCACAATGGCGTGGGGAAAGGAGTGGAGGTTTGGGGAATAGAGGGAGTATAGGTGTTGAGTAAAATAGCTTTGCATACCACTTTGCAGAATGGAGGCGTACGGTTAAAGGTATGGTCATCAGGTATACAGTCGAATCTTCACGTGCGACCACCTCCCCAAAACACCAGAAGTGTTCTCAGTCAAAGCCTTATACTGGAACCTCTAGTAAACGACCACCTCCCGTAAGCGACCGCGACCGCTATTTTGGCTGACAGTTTTAGAATTTCTATTGTTATAAACCTCCGGTAAGCGACCACTTGACACCTGGTCTCAATGGAGAGAGAATTGCATTTTAAAAATGGACAAAAAGAAATTTATTTTTTGGCTGTCATTATTGTCTACACATCTATTACTGTGTTTCGATCTATAACTACAATATTAACCATTACCCTTGAGAAAAAGACTCATATTTCCAGGTTTCAGTTTAAGAAGTTTTAACTAAAGTTTTTGTTTGTCAGAAGTTTCAGCGACATTTTTCGCTCTTCCATAAATTAAATGAACTGCCACATAGAATAGCTAATGATTTTGTAAATAATGCATTTTGGGTGGTAGCTTACGGGAGGTTCAACTGTATTAGTTGTCCAGCCGGTGAAGTGGGCTCCCGATAGGGGTCTGGGGAGAAAGTACTTACTTACTTAGGCCGGGAATCACCCGTAGCCAAAGAAGAACCACACCTGATCGCAGCTTGGAACCAAGGGTCACCGAGGGTGACTAATCTCTATGCTTTGGTCACCTAGTCCTAAATAACTGGTGAGATCATATTGGCTTTGACCTTGTCTCATTTCAGATGATCGCGACATTGGTGACGTTAAGCCGTTGGCCTCTTCTCCTTCATCCTTCTTTGGTCTTCTTTCATTAGTCAAATCGAAGGGGACGTAAAAGAACCCACATAGAGTACTAAAGTGTGACGTCATAAAAATGAAATTTCCGAAATTATGGGATTTGTCAGGATATTCTGAAAGAACAATGTCCAAGAGGCCTACTTGCCAAAAATGAGCATTTGGGGGCAAATTGTCGCTGAGATCGTAGCCCAGTTATGCTTACAAAACTCCATACAAACCCTTCTAAATTTTTTTTGGGTCGACCCAAAAAAAAATTACAAGGGTTTGTATGGAGTTTTCTGAGTATAACTGGGCTACGATCTCGGAGACAATTTGCCCCAAAATGCTCATTTTTGGCAAGTAGGCCTCTTGGACATTGTTCTTTCAGAATATCTTGACAAATCCCATAATTTCAGAAATTTCATTTTTATGACGTCATCACTTTAGTACTCTATTACTGTTCAAAAAGAGTAGGGTAAGTTTCCGCGGTGGTGCTGGCATCACACATCATTCCCCTGAGCTATGGTTGGTTTACAGTTAGCTCATAACTGGACGGATAGCGGCTGCCACTGGCGCCCTTGGATGTTGACGTCCGAGCTTGCTGCAAGAATGTAAACCCTCGGACGTACAAGGAGGGGGAGGGGGGCCTTTGGTTGCCACCCCCTTCTGAGGTTTTTTTGAGTTTTTCACAAGACGATAAAACAACAGCATTTGAAGCTTTCAGTAGCTGTTCGTTTATTCCTCGCGCGCATTTTGAGATAAGTTTAGTGATGGTCAGTTACTATGGTCACGAGATATGACGCCTTTGAAAAATTTAGAGAGGGGGATATTCGAGAAGATGTCCCGATAAGACCCCAGATTTAAAAGCCATTTCAGAACGATTATGTAAATGCGATGCCTCTTTTGAGGTGTAAACGTGACTGTGCAATACGGTTGTTATGTTAGCCCACAAATAATTTGGAGGAGGTCAATTCCTATCTGGAACTCATATTTTTTTCTGAGTTCTTTTTTCTACTCTATTTCAGTCTAATTATAATGGATAGGTCTTTGAACATGGATATCCTTCTTGCTCAGCTGCAGCCTCTCCACGCCTCAGGTCTCGTTTATATAGAGAAAACCTGTCCAGAGTAGAAGAGCGTCTGGACGGGGTGGGGGGTAGGGTGTTTTACGAGTGTCTGTCTGTCACAAATTTTTAAATGAGCTGTCAGATTCCCGCCAATCAGCTGAAGCGGAAACGACTGCAAATGGAAACAAAGATTGAAAAAACACGTGCCAAGGGTAATGACGTCATTACTAATGTAATTTCCGCCAATCAGCATCTCGCATCGACTTTAGTTGCAAGCTCTCCTTCCTATTCCCGCCACGCCGCCAGAGAGCTTGCTCGCAGGCTAATTTGGAACTTACCTCAATTAACAGGTCTTTTGTGGGGTTCTAGGGGAAGTCACACTCAAGAAAGCTTTGACTGAGGGAGGGGTGGGGCACTTACACTAGGCGCCTACGGAAATCCAGGAAAGTGTGAGCAACAAGAGCTGGTCGTTTACGAGAACGGGGCCTTGTGACCATGTCATAAACTTATTGAAGGCAGTCGCCTACGAGGACTTTTAGCAAAAACCTTAGGATATCTTGCCATGGTAACTACTACTGACAAAAGAACAGTTTTTTCAAGTCAAGCACTCATTGTTTAATCCAACTGTACGAAAGTGTTGCTACGGCTAAAGCTTTCTACTTTTTGCTGTCCTTTCAAAGTTCAATGCCCCCCCTCCCCCCTCCAAAGAGGTGAAAAATGGTAAGAGCCACCTTAACTATCTCTGAGGTAAATGAGAGACTACTACAGTCAACTTCCTTCATAACGGACACTGTAGGGACCTTGAGTTAGTGTTCTCAATCGTGAGAGTCCGTAACAGCGGGAATTAAAAGCGGTCAAACGTAGGCTATTTATTTTTGCCTGGGATTTAGCTGCTGTCCGTATTATTGGGGCGTCCGTTATAGCGAGGTATGCGCTGTACAATGCAGTTCGTAACTGTAACTGATCGCTTTCGAGACTGGTTCATGCAAGGAGATCGTGGACTGTATCCCTTTGTTTCTCCCTTTCTAGCATCTTCAGTTACCCCTGGCATCATTCGAAAAACTTTACAAATGAGGTCCACTTGTGGAAATTACTTCTCAATTTCCTTAAATATTAAATGTGCCTTTTTGGAGGTCTACAGAAAAAAGACTCAGCCACGGAAAATGGTAACTTTGAAAATTCTAAATCGCACAAGTTAAAGATGTGTCATAGAGACAGAGACTTCTTACAAAAAAATTTCAAACAAGAACATTTTAATCGTCTAGCACCGAGTATTTACAAATTTACAACAAGTTACAAGTCTTACATGTACAATATACAAACAATTAAAATAAATATGCCAACACTGATAAGACAACAGCGCTATGACTTTGATTCAACTACAAGATTACAAACCGGTTTGTGCTTGCTCCAGTGTTTCACCTGGCATTCTCTGAAAGAGATCACAATAAAACAAATCCAGTGTCTTTGTTGCTCATTGGAACGAAAAGTCTCTCAAAGATTTCTATGTCAGAGCTGACATTCCTTCACTTAAAGTCTTGGGAGTGAAACATTGGTAAAGAGAAAACTAAGCAACGCAAATTCAAAATCCCTGTCATCCCTATCTCCCGAGCAATCCTTGAAATACTTGTGCACCTTTTCTAGATGCAAGACTTTCTTTTCCAAAGTGAGCTATTCTAGTTGTTAGTGCACTCCCCAAAATAAATTGGAACTACTCGTTCAAAGGACAATTTATACGTGTCTCGGACAGAGTGGTTGTTAATAGAGAAAATTTGTTACCTTTTACAATACCATTCAGTTTGACATCTAGAGCATCGTTTCGTGGCTGGTTGGCCACACATAGCGCATTTGGGAGGATCACTGACCAGCTCTTCAAACATATCCAAGTTGTACGTGTTCGCCCACCTAAGAACACAACCAAACAAATGAACAAACAGTGCATGTAAATAGTAGGAAAGAAATTGAGAAGTAGAGCATTTGTCCCATCAGAGAGGGTCGTAGCAAGAAGAAAGGAAGAGTTTGATAGGCGTGGCAGGGCCACGCTCGCTCGCCCTCAACAAAAATGTAACCTGTGCCTGGCTCTCGGTCAGTGCAGACGAGCAACCGGGCGAGCAGCAAAAAAGCGAGCGAGTGAAAAACTGCGGGAAGCAAGGGGAGAGGCGGTGTAAGAGGGTTTCACCTGCCGCTCGCCATGTTTGTTTGACTCTGCGCCCGCGAGAGCGAGAGCTTGACATAAGGTTTGACGCAAACTGTTAAAATTGACCAATCGTAGTGCATACTAGGAGCCGGTATTTCCGAATGAGGTATCGAATACAATGCTTACAGGCTCCACTTCCCCGTCTCTCTGCAGCCTCCACGCGGTTTTCGTGTATTTTTTCCCAATGCTCTCTCCGTACTATCGCTTCTGTTTTTTACTATCTTAAAGCCTAAAACAGCCTAGCCAAAATGGTACTATACCGATGATAATGATTTCGAAACTGCATATTCTGCATAGCAGCTGCTAGACGGGATCTACCAAGGGCGTAAGAGGCACAAAGAGAACGTAGCCCCTCCTCCTTCTTTGCGCCCCTGTCGCGTTTGCGCACCCGATTCTCCTTCCTTCGCGTTTTCCCGCTGCGACACAGGAAATAAACTGCCATACATAATGATGCAAAAACCACTTGTGGTACTCACGTTTTTGCTTGTCTTTTAATATCCTCTGCTGTCGGTGAGAAGAAAGCCCTCTTCTGATATTTTGCGATTTTTTCCCATTTTCCTTGGTTTTCTTTTACCAGTTTTTCTCTTATCTCGGGGACCTAGTGGTCATTTTCCGAAAGAAAAATTAACAACTGAATGACCTTCATCCCTACATTTAAAACTAAGTTATTTATGCGTTAATGTTATTTCACGACGCTATGTTCATTATCCAGGGCACCCTTAAGTTTTGAAAAAACTTCTTACCACCGATGTTACCCCCCTAAGTACCCTATCTTGCAATATATCTTTTGTTGTTTGATAAAAATAAAGGAAAATAATAATAAAAAAATCTGGCCGTTTATTTCATTGTCTCTGACAGTAATAATGGACTGTTACTATGGCACCCTTGATGCCAGGTCTATCTCGTTCCATTCTATAGAGTGTTTTCACTCACGTGGCCAGCATCTATGCAATTCATTGGAACAAAAGAAAGCATTTACATGAGAAAAGAGTTCAACTCCCAAAGGATTTTCTTGGTACACCAACATGGCCGCCGTTTCATTGTTTTGGAACACCAATATGGCCGCCGTGACGTCATGTGAAAACGCTCTATTCTCCTGAAGCAAGAAAGGGAAGAAGAGAAGAGAGAAACTGGGAAGGAGATAGTTGCTATGGTAGCAATACCACAAGCAGATCTTAGGAGGCAGGCACTTAGAAGTTCGACGATATTAAAAAAAAAGTGTTGACCGGATTTGAGCAAGAACTGTTGTCCAAAAGAATTTTTTTTTCATTATTACTACAATGCATTCACCTGTTCTAGAATAATGTCTTTTTTAATAGCTGGCGGTTCCATTATGGATAATTGTTCAAGGTATCGTTGAAGATCTATTAAACTTGGAATCTGGTCCAACAGTACTTCATTCATAAATCCTCGTAGCTGAAGAAAAACATGAAAAAATTAAAATCAAATGAGTGCTTTTAAATCTGAAAAAACGGGGCTGGGTTGTTAGCTCCAGTTTTACCATAAAAATAATAAAAATCCCAACGATTTGTCAGAGTGAGCAAATCTTGAGGAAAGACTGTTATAGGCAGTTTCCGAGTCGCTTCAAGCCTCTGTTTGAAAACAAGGCCAAGTGCGAAGCCACTGATATTCTCATGCAAATAAGACTTATTCTCACAAGAAAGGTTTTACACTCAGCCTCATTTTGAAAGTGAAAATTTTTCATTTTTTTTTTCCGAAATGGCTTATTACCATAATTCCACGTGTTTGTAATTTGTTTTTCCACTATAGTTAAAAGATGAAAAACCATATCTGCGGTCAGACTTTCCGACCGGCTTTCTATTTTGTGTTACACCACGTTGTGGAAAATTACTTTTTAGCAATCTCCTTTGAGCTGGGATGCGTTACAGAAAGCGTCCGTACCGACGCATTTCAATCTGCTCGCTAGACCAATCAAATTCTTATATTCTTGTTCGTTTTTTGCTTTAGTAGTAGTAGTTATCTAGTAGTATCCCATCAGAATAGAGAGGAGAAGTGTGACGTCACGTTACCATGGTAGCAAAATTTCAGGATCTCCGCAATAGGGAGTTAAAAGAGAGCTTAGGCAACGACGACGGCAACGGCAACGGCAAAGAGAACGGCAAAAAATCAATAGGTTTAGATTGGCAAAACAACAACTTTGCACGTGCAACACGTTTTTTTTGTACATTTTTTTACCGTCGTTGCACGACCACAACGTGAAAGTGCCTAAACTCACGTTTTGTCGAGGACGTGAACTCAAGACAAAGGCTTTCTTTTTCTTTTCCTGAACTTTGATACAGTCTTTTAGAATTCAACTCCAGAAAAATTAGTCAACATTTGACGAACTGGAATAAGCGCGATAAAGTTTGAAGTAGCGCGAATTCCCTTTTTAAGTGACGTTTTCGTAGCTGTCACCGTTGCCGTCGTTGTTGCTTAAGCTCCCTAAAGCAACGACGACGGCAACGGAAACGAGAATAGTTAAAAAGCAATAAGTTTATGTTAGCAAAACAATAACTTTGCACGTGCATCATGCTTTTTTTGTACATTTCTTGGCCGCCGTTGCACGACTGCGGCATGAAACTTCCAAATTTCACGTTTTTGCTTTATGCAGTAGGTAAACCTAACGAAAAAATTTTACTTTTCTTTTTACATACGGTCCTTTCGGATTCAACCCCAGAAGATTTCGCCAACATTTGACAAATTAAATGAAACTGAGTAAGATCAATTAAGTTGAAACAAAGCGAATTCGCTTTTAAATTGAATTTTCGGTTTGTTGTCATCCATGGAAACGTGACGTAACGACTTCTCCTCTCTAAATATGACACCTTGCACGAATCATCATCAAGTTTAGATGGGGATAGCAATTCCGAACAATTTTCTCCAATCGTGATGGGCATTTTTCAATCTTCTTAATTTTTTGCGAAGGTCATGCCATTACTAACGTACTGAGTTTAAAGCAATGATGGCATCATGCTACTCCTTCAAAAGGTGGATGACGCTATCCAATGGAAGAAAACCTCTATCCAGTTGGTTTCCCTAATGCTTATCCGCTGGATAGTGCGTGATTCATCCAGTGGATAGCGCTATCCAACGCTTGAACAACCACGGCGTGAACTGCTTTTAAAAGCGGCTTAAGTTACCTTTAATATTTGTTCCTTGCTGTAAGAATTAAATTCATATTTCCTTTGGCAGTCCTCGTTCATGAGCAGTTGATAGACAGCAAGCCAAACCTGAAAGATTTCAATCATAAGATAGACCGACATAATTGAGTGTTTTCCTGGTTTCAAGGGTGTTTTGGGGGTTGTAGTTCCCTAAAAATACCTATATGGGTAATTGTCGCCCAATGAGATTGTGATTATAGTACTCCAGACACATTCAAGTCAGTTAAAAATAGCAATATAATCTGAAAACAACATTTTGTGGCAACTTCCACGCGCGTGGGCATCCCTAGGAACTCTTAAAAAGCTTATATGGTCTATAGCAGTTGACCCTAGCTACGTACCTGCCCTTCTGTTTTACTAAGTTGTAGTCTCTCATTCTCAGCTATCATTCTCCACGTGTTGTCAATAAATTTCATCAGCTTACCTGGAAACAACAAGTATGAGTTGAGGTCAGTCCAGGACGCAAAGAAAGTGAGTTTTACAGCCTGCCATTCGGGCAAGCTGTAGATAGCATGTACTAGCCCACAAGTCATTTCAACAAGCCCCAAAAGTTAAACCCTTTTTTATTAGCAGTATTGATTACAATCCTTCTGTAATTTGAATTTCCCAAAAAACAGCACACGCCCGTCGGGAAAGTTAAGAACAAAAATCACTGGCCCAATAGCAAAATCCACTAGCCCCGGGCTATCGGACATGACTTTCTTTGCACGCTGGGTCACTCAGACTAGGGAGAAAGCAGTTTCTTTCTTTCACCAGTGGTACTTACATACCAAGGTAACGCCGGTCATACGCAAGCCACGGTGATCGCCTGAGTAGGGGGACTCAACAAAGTTTTGTTCAGGGAGACTCCGCGCGCCCCGAGGTACAGCCCCTTACCCTTTCAAACAAGATTTTTGAAACGTACCCCTTTCTTATACCTTGAGAAATGGTACCTCTCTCAAATACCTGGTTTTTACGTCCCTTTAAACTGCTTTAAGTGTACCGTCTTTGAAATAATTATGAATAAATCACTAGGGGTTGATTTCCACTGTCGCGTGATTTTTCCGTGCGAACACACGTAAAAGTTACGTGCGTAAATGAACTAGAGGCAATGTATGCAAGGACACGCGTAAACGTAATAGTTGAGCGAGGTTCAACTTTAAACGTATACCCGTGACCTTCCATACAATGTCTCTATTTTATTTACGCGCGTAAAACAAAATTACGCGACAGAGGAAATCCACCTTAAACCAGGAAGTTTTCTTATCTTTTTCACAGCCACAAAACGCGTCTATTAGCTCTTTTAGCTCTTTTTACGGAACGAAATGACAAATTTCTCCACCCTTTGATATAGTTCAACTCGTGAAATTCCTACAGGGAATGAGGCTCAGGGAGACAGCGTGGCCGAGTGGTCAGCGCGTCGGACCCGCGATTCGGCGGCCCTGGGTTCGAGTTCCGCTCTGGCCACTAGCTGGATTTGCTCTGGGTCGTACCGAGTTCAAATCCTCGGCCTGGCTCGTAAATAGCCAACTGGTTGCCTCCTGCCAGTTTGGTGTTTTAACCCTGTTATGTTGTATTTGAATTATTTGTTGCTAAGAATTTGAGTGGAGTGCCTGCAAACTAGCTGGATACTGAGCTAAGTGCACTTTCCACCACAAACAAGCCTTTAAGCCTTTTACCCTTTCATATTCCTGAAGCCTGAAAAAGGTACCTCTTTTGGGTGGAACGTCCCCGTATAGGCCATTTTAGGAAGTACTCTCCCCCCCCGCCCCTTGTACTGTAATGCTACAGTACTGGTCGCGTGTAGTGCGTTGTTTGAGGGGAAATTTCATAGCCATTCATCTGACTGGTCGTTTCATTGTAAAACTCAGAGAGCCGAGATAAACACGTTGGTAGCGTTAAAGGTCGCTTTATACTCTGAACTTTTTGATGTTTCCACGAAGTGGTTGAACAGTTTGGTTTTTTTTTTTCCAGAAATGGGAATGAGATTTAAACAACCTACTTTCAGTAACTTACCTTTGTGTCTTTTAATCCATGGAGGATTCTCAACTAACTGTACAAGTACTACAGGAGTGTCTGAAAAAAAATGTGTGGAGTAAAACGGTAAAGACTTTTAATTTCTCAATGATGGACAAGTCAACAATGATATTTGGCTTTTAACAAGTTTCGCAATCAGTCATTGACCATTACACTACGTTATAGCAAGATTATCTGCCCAGTGATTTTGTTACAAATGGTTATGGTGAGTCCTGGGACTCATCTTGCAAAAAATCATGAGTCCCTGTCCATAACCAATGGGTCCCAGTTCAATTGAAAATGCTTGGGCATTTATGTAACCAGACAGTTAATCTGGAATAGACGCCAAAACTCTTTATTACAGTTAACTGAAATTAAAATACAGTCCTTCTATATATTTGAACCACAAAAAAGACTAAAATAAATATGCATCTTTAATCAACAGCCACAGTGATCACATGAACAGGATATTCTACCAAAAAATCTTCAAATCAATCAATTGTTCTTTGTGTCCTATGGTATGCATGCTATGACTCATTTTGCATCTTAAGGGATTAATTTTATGCGTCAGGGACACAGGACGAAGAGGTAACAAAACCAGTGCTAATAGGAGTGAGTGGGTTAAAATGAGTCGGAAATTCTGGTGTTTTATAGCTGGGGAGTAAAGTAATATCAACAAAGTTGATTAAGTAAATTGGCCACAATTAAGAGATTCAAAAGCCAACATTTGAAGCACTAGGCCTTCGTCGCTGTGAATCCAAAAGGATGAACAAATATTAGGGCTAGCGTCATTGAACTTCAGCTTTCAAAACTCTTTACACATGCCAATGAACTTTTAGTTATCAACCCAGCCAATAAGACCAAATTATTGTGATAAAAATGGCCTATGTACATCAGCTACTGAAGGGTTAAAAGTATCTGTTGGAGGTAGTATTTAGAACATTAAAATTTAATGCACATAAATAAGGGGACTGATACCAAGCTCTTAAGATCCAATTTCTCAGAAGGGCAGGGATACTTGTTTCACATTATAAACAATGAACGCTTTCCATTCAACAAAAATACCGGTTTGAAATTTCAGAAATTCCATGTGCCCAATGGAACAGTACATTCTGGTAGCACAGACCCGACTCAAGGCACTGCGCATTTGGTTATTGTTCTTGTAATCAGAATACAGAAGAGCGCCACTGGGAAAAACAATCTTGTCATGGAAAGGGACATTTCGGTCTGAACTTAACAGAGGAAACTCTTGTTCCATTAGCCACACAAGCAAAACACATACATTTAACATACATTTTACACACAGCTAATACTTACTGTGTGTGTTTAGAAGTCGTGTCATTACACTCAGTGGTAAACTAGAATAGGAGAAATAAGTACATTAACTAGATCAGATACATTAATTATTGACTGGTCAACATGAGATGAAGATGTTTGGATGCTGGCAAAGTTCATCCATCTTGGATGAACAAGCAAGCTTGGTCAATAAAAGATGTAATATAATGGCAGAAAAAGTTCAGCAGTTCTTACTTTGTTAAAGAATCTATGATGTATCTGAGAATGGAAACAGTCTTTACACATACAGTAAAGAAAATTGTGTTCTCTTGCGTCTTCAGTTCCTAAAATAAATCATGAAAAAAATTAATCCTCACGAATAACATCATTTTATTAAAAACTGGCTGAACTAGCTTATGTCAGAGGCACTAGCACAGCTACACTCAGCAACAAGATTGGTTGAGACACCTTGCCCTGACATTTTACCAACTTCAAAGGGGAAAATGAAGCCCTCCCCACCTCCCTCCATGCAATGTTGTGCCACTGTTTGAGCTACATGTACCTGTTGCAATGGAAACAACAAACACCTCAACTTTGAAAGGAGGGAGGGGGAGGGAGTGGTTTTGATCTCTGAAGTTTAATTACCCCATAGTTTACCTCCACACTTGAGGAATCCTTAGTTTCTACTGTCTCTTCCGTAGCTTCTTCTTGCCTGAAAATCAACTAACCTTTAAGGGAAAAATGGACTTGGACAAAGTAACACTGTGGGAATAGCTTCTAGCATGAACGATGACAATCATAATGCACCAATCATTAACAGCCCTGATGATCTTGTACAGCTTAGAACTGATATCGTTGTGGCCTAAAGAAGGCCAGCATTATAGGCACTCAAACATGATTCACTTTCTTTATGATATTTAGGGAAGAAGTCAAAACTTCACGTATTAAATTGTACTCGGAAAGGAGCCATAGACACTCTACAAAACTGTGGAGGTGTCTTTATCCCCCCTCCCCTACCCCTCATGTCACCCCTGCTCTAGCAAGAAGACGAAAAAGATGGTACTGGCCTCATGAATAAGATTTTAATTAAATGTGCCCATGTTGTTTGTCCAAATAATGTTAATCTTTTATGCATAAAACTTTTAGGTCTACTAACACATGTAGAAGTCTCCTCTGTCTTTGATTTACAGGCCAACAATGTTTGTCAAACAGACTCATCAGGGAGTGGAAGGTGCCCCCCAAGCTCCCGAAGTCTTTTTTCTTTTTTTGAAATCAAAATACAAGCATCAAGAACACTACACTACTATGAAGAAGAATGAAAAAATGAATAACAATATCTTACTGTGCGATAAGCAGTGTTATTCTTCTGAGGCAATAATCAGCAAGATCAAGAATACTATCACCAGCAGCCTCGCATGCTTCCTGACAATCAAAATACAATCAAGAGCTTTGTTACGGAAATTATGTAAAACTTGAAAAAAATTGAGTTATGTTATTATAAAACTTACACCACAATCTGATTACCATAACTTTCACTTTATCACTAGTATTAGTTTGATGATATAAATTTCCATACACCGTGGCTGAATTATTTGGGACTTTTTTTGAAGGAGATTTTTGTAATAAAAAGATTGTGAATTCTCCAAGAGTTAAATAAATTGACCATGTGGTTCCAAAACTTACCTATAATACCTTGTGGTACTAATAAAAAAAATAACCAACGACTAAGTATTTTTTTGCAATTGGTTCCAAAAACAACAAAAAACATTTCATGTAAAATCTAAGACTACCGAAAGATTTATAGTTTTTCATTTTTGGCACTGTCTTGGAAGTAAGGACATGAAACACAATAACATACTTATGTTTACCTTATGATATAGAATAGTTTCCAGGAGACTGACTACTGTTGCCTCATGAAACAGCTGTTTAAAAAAACAATATTATTTTAGCAGTGCATCAAGTGAAAGTACTAAATATAGATGAAAATGCGCTAGCTTTTACCAAGAAATTCTTACTTTTAATTAACACATTTATACCACTACATAAGAAATTTCTGCAATTTGATTGGCTTAGAGCAGTGGTATTTCAGCTTAATTTGAAATACCTACATGTGAAAATTACAAACCTTTTGCGGGTATTAGTATAAACAAATAACAGCATGATTTGTACGTGATATTTTACATAAACACCACTCATGATATTTCAAAATTGTCTCAAATTTCACTCGCCTAACGGCTCGTGAAATTACGTATAACAATTTTGAAATATCACTTGTGGTATTTATGCCAAATATCACTACTAATCATGCTATTACCTATTCCATAACCAATGGGTCCCAGTTCAATTGAAAATGCTTGGGCATTTATGTAACCAGACAGTTAATCTGGAATAGACGCCAAAACTCTTTATTACAGTTAACTGAAATTAAAATACAGTCCTTCTATATATTTAAACCACAAAAAAGACTAAAATAAATATGCATCTTTAATCAACAGCCACAGTGATCACATGAACAGGATATTCTACCAAAAAATCTTCAAATCAATCAATTGTTCTTTGTGTCCTATGGGATGCATGCTATGACTCATTTTGCATCTTAAGGGATTAATTTTATGCGTCAGGGACACAGGACGAAGAGGTAACAAAATCACTGCTAATAGGAGTGAGTGGGTTAAAATGAGTCGGAAATTCTGGTGTTTCATAGCTGGGGAGTAAAGTAATATCAACAAAACTCTTTACACACGCCAATGAACTTTTAGTTATCAACCCAGCCAATAAGACCAAATTATTGTGATAAAAATGGCCTATGTACATCAGCTACTGAAGGGCTAAAGGTATCTGTTGGAGGTAGTATTTAGAACATTAAATATACATAAATAAGGAGACTGATACCAAGCTCTTAAGATCCAATCTCTCAGAAGGGCAGGGACACTATGTTTCACATTATAAACAATGAACGCTTTCCATTCAACAAAAATACCGGTTTGAAATTTCAGAAATTCCATGTGCCCAATGGAACAGTACATTCTGGTAGCACAGACCCCACTCAAGCAACTGGGCATTTGGTTATTGTTCTTGTAATCAGAATACAGAAGAGTGCCACTGGGAAAAACAATCTTGTCATGGAAAGGGACATTTCGGTCTGACCCACTGAAATGAGTGGACTGGTCAAAGTGATCCATCTTCAAAGGTGCAGGTGTAGGACTACTTCCTAAATGTTTCAGTCAGACCAAACTAAACCGAAATGTCTGTTTCTATTTGATTTCTAACTGAAATTTCCGGAATTTTGTGCCGAATGGAAAGCGCCCTAAGTAACTTAACAGAGAAAACTCTTGTTCCATTAGCTACACAAGCAAAACACATACATTTAACATACATTTTACACACAGCTTATACTTACTGTGTGTGTTTAGAAGTCGTGTCATTACACTCAGTGGTAAACTAGAATAGGAGAAATAAGTACATTAATATTAATCACTAGATCAGATATATTTATTATTGACTGGTCAAGCATGAGATGAAGATGTTTGGATGCTGGCAAAGTTCATCCATCTTGGATGAACAAGCAAGCTTGGTCAATAAAAGATGTAATATAATGGCAGGAAAAAGTTCAGTAGTTCTTACTTTGTTAAAGAATCTATGATGTATCTGAGAATGGAAACAGTCTTTACACATACAGTAAAGAAAATTGTGTTCTCTTGCGTCTTCAGTTCCTAAAATAAATCATGAAAAAAATTAATCCTCACGAATAACATCATTTTATTAAAAACTGGCTGAACTAGCTTATGTCAGAGGCACTAGCACAGCTACACTCAGCAACAAGATTGGTTGAGACACCTTGCCCTGACATTTTACCAACTTCAAAGGGGAAAATGAAGCCCTCCCCACCTCCCTCCATGCAATGTTGTGCCACTGTTTGAGCTACATGTACCTGTTGCAATGGAAACAACAAACACCTCAACTTTGAAAGGAGGGAGGGGGAGGGAGTGGTTTTGATCTCTGAAGTTTAATTACCCCATAGTTTACCTCCACACTTGAGGAATCCTTAGTTTCTACTGTCTCTTCCGTAGCTTCTTCTTGCCTGAAAATCAACTAACCTTTAAGGGAAAAATGGACTTGGACAAAGTAACACTGTGGGAATAGCTTCTAGCATGAACGATGACAATCATAATGCACCAATCATTAACAGCCCTGATGATCTTGTACAGCTTAGAACTGATATCGTTGTGGCCTAAAGAAGGCCAGCATTATAGGCACTCAAACATGATTCACTTTCTTTATGATATTTAGGGAAGAAGTCAAAACTTCACGTATTAAATTGTACTCGGAAAGGAGCCATAGACACTCTACAAAACTGTGGAGGTGTCTTTATCCCCCCTCCCCTACCCCTCATGTCACCCCTGCTCTAGCAAGAAGACGAAAAAGATGGTACTGGCCTCATGAATAAGATTTTAATTAAATGTGCCCATGTTGTTTGTCCAAATAATGTTAATCTTTTATGCATAAAACTTTTAGGTCTACTAACACATGTAGAAGTCTCCTCTGTCTTTGATTTACAGGCCAACAATGTTTGTCAAACAGACTCATCAGGGAGTGGAAGGTGCCCCCCAAGCTCCCGAAGTCTTTTTTCTTTTTTTGAAATCAAAATACAAGCATCAAGAACACTACACTACTATGAAGAAGAATGAAAAAATGAATAACAATATCTTACTGTGCGATAAGCAGTGTTATTCTTCTGAGGCAATAATCAGCAAGATCAAGAATACTATCACCAGCAGCCTCGCATGCTTCCTGACAATCAAAATACAATCAAGAGCTTTGTTACGGAAATTATGTAAAACTTGAAAAAAATTGAGTTATGTTATTATAAAACTTACACCACAATCTGATTACCATAACTTTCACTTTATCACTAGTATTAGTTTGATGATATAAATTTCCATACACCGTGGCTGAATTATTTGGGACTTTTTTTGAAGGAGATTTTTGTAATAAAAAGATTGTGAATTCTCCAAGAGTTAAATAAATTGACCATGTGGTTCCAAAACTTACCTATAATACCTTGTGGTACTAATAAAAAAAATAACCAACGACTAAGTATTTTTTTGCAATTGGTTCCAAAAACAACAAAAAACATTTCATGTAAAATCTAAGACTACCGAAAGATTTATAGTTTTTCATTTTTGGCACTGTCTTGGAAGTAAGGACATGAAACACAATAACATACTTATGTTTACCTTATGATATAGAATAGTTTCCAGGAGACTGACTACTGTTGCCTCATGAAACAGCTGTTTAAAAAAACAATATTATTTTAGCAGTGCATCAAGTGAAAGTACTAAATATAGATGAAAATGCGCTAGCTTTTACCAAGAAATTCTTACTTTTAATTAACACATTTATACCACTACATAAGAAATTTCTGCAATTTGATTGGCTTAGAGCAGTGGTATTTCAGCTTAATTTGAAATACCTACATGTGAAAATTACAAACCTTTTGCGGGTAGTAGTATAAACAAATAACAGCATGATTTGTATGTGATATTTGGCATAAATACCACTCATGATATTTCAAAATTGTCTCAAATTTCACTCGCCTAACGGCTCGTGAAATTACGTATAACAATTTTGAAATATCACTTGTGGTATTTATGCCAAATATCACTACTAATCATGCTATTACCTATACTAATAACCAGATAACCGATGGTATTCCTACCACAACCATAAGTACACTGTAGGGTTGGTCCATACTGTAGGCAAACTCAATTTCATTAATGGAGATACCATGCACTACATAACAATTCATTTTTCTTAACTTTTTTTTCTCAATATAAAAAAGGATCTACAAAATGTCTTGGATGCAAAGATAACCAAATTTTCTTACCTATAGTGCTCCACTACGCATGGTTCCCACCCAAAGAGCTCCACTAACAATCATTCAAATTCTCTAAGTTATAAGTTGGAGTACAAGGTTACAGCAAATAAAATTAAAATAACAATAAATTAAGTCACACCTACCACAAAATATACAGGTAAAGTTGTATGAGGGTTGTAGCCTGACTCTAAAAGTTTTGGAAACACCTTTTCTTTCCAAAGCTCAACAGCTAACAATTCATGGATCAGGGTGGGAATCTGAAGAATGCAGTCAAAATATAAAAAAGGACCCAGTAATAAATATTTGGAAATAAATGTTATGTGCAGCATATTTCTAATATTATGATTTTAACTACAGGTATTGCCCAGAAGTTAGAAATAAGCCATAATTTGGAAATGCAAGATAATTTCTCAGCTTATACAGTCCTATACAGCTTGAAAAAAAAAGACATGATGCATGTTTCAGTTAACATTTCATTGACATATTTTCAACATATGGTGGTCTGCCTGGGGCAAGACCTTTACCCATTTGTTATTTAAAAACATTTACCCAAAATTGTGGTAGAAGATAGTCACCAATACTAGTATGCAATTCCTAGGGCCCGGGTACTCCGGATTTCAAAAATCGAAACCCAAATATATCCCTAGGGATTTCGACAAAACCCCAGAAAATCCCTGGACCAAAACTTAACCCCTGAAAATCCCATGATGAATTTCCAAGCCTTAAAATTTTCCAGAAAGCATTAAGCCAGGATACGCAGTACTACCATAAATCTTCAGATTGTTTTGAATATCCCAAAAAAACACTACTTAAATCAAGCCACCCAAAAAGTACTTGCCAAATTTCCCTACCCAAAAAAATCCTGGAATTGGAAATTTCAACCCTTCAAAATCATCCGATCATTTCTGTCCCGTGAAATCTGGAATAACACCTCTCGGATGCAATTAGGGAAAACTACAAAGTAAATATTACATACATATATTATCTTTGTTTTAATTTATGACAAGAAAACAAAGCAAACCACCGTTGCTGTGTTGGCTGCATATTTAAATTCCCCTGTTTTTTAGTAAGATTGTCGGGATCAAGCACTGTAACAGGTGGCCATCCTGGTTTCAAGAAAATCAAATCAACCTAGGGGACAGGGGGACCAACTAGAAACCCTGAAACCAAGATGGCCTAGCATTTAATTTACAGTAAGCCATTTACCATCTTATTCTACTCACCACTTAACAAGCTTTGTTGACCTTTTCCGAAGAAAATAATCTTTCTCATATTTCATATACATATAATGATAAGTAATGCTTTACACAAATAATCCTTTATACAAAAAATATTACTTGCAGGGTCACGCACCTTCTCTAAAGTTATTAGCAGTTCCTTGACAAATTCATCTGTCTGTGATGAAGCACTAACAATAGCCTAATAAAGACATACATACATAAACTTTTTTTAATTTATTTTTTAAATTAATTTATTTATTTGCATCACTGATTTACATGACTTACATATAAAGCACATAGATACATGATTACATTGCTGCTATACAGTGATTACTTAACAGTCCAGATATATAATACAGAGTAGCCAAAGTAACTTAAGCAGTTCAACATCTTTATTTACACTTGAATTGTTGAAAACCTTGCAGAGATATAATATCTTCCAGAAAGCAATACACAAAAATTTTGGATGACTTTTTGCTTTGTTCTTACTAGCCTGATTGACTGAATCATACCTGTATGCATTTGGATACGGTTCAAAAGATCTTTTGCCCCTGTGCATTATAGTTGTTTCTGTGACCCAGTCGAAAACTAGGAACACCAGAAATATTTCGGGAATGTTGTTGTGTTGCAAGGAAAAAAGCCAATCAGGAATGAGAAAACTAAACTACAGGCAACAACGGGTATAATTACTTAGGGATTTGTGGCTTGCTTGCATGTCCTCAGCTTTGATGCGATTGGTAACAACACAAGAAATATGCCTAATTAGTAAATTATTTCAAGTGTTCACAGTTTTCTCGATTTGACAGTAGAACTGATGATGTCGTCACAAGTGATACAAGGGACGAGGATCCACAAAGGCGGTTATGGGCAGTTCAGGTGTGAATGGCATGGGTTAATGGTACCATGTTGACTGGTTAGGCTAAGATTTGTTTCAAAATTACCTGCATATTTAGCTTCTCTATGAATTCATGTTGGTTCATCCATCTGCGGAATTAAAATTCACTACCGATAAAATAACATTTTTTCTGATTGGCAGGAGGCAGACTATTAATTTTAGTTATTTAAACGCATATATACATGGCTATTTAATCGATGTTCAACAGGTCCAAACGTACTGTGTGACCAGCTTGTGGTCCACAGTCTGGTTTCATACCATGGCGTCAGAGTTTAAGTCCGACCGCTCGATCACGCTCCTTTCTACGTTAATACTTACTTTGCACTTCCTATTTCTTTTAGAGGGTTAGTTTTAAGGTGTTCAATGTATAGTTCAGCTTCTGTAGCAAACAAAACTTGCTTTCCTTCGCCACCAGATTCACCCGCCATTTTGTTTGAAGGCTGCAGTCGGTAGGTACTTCATGTATGGGGACATATATTGTACCGCTTTTGCCTAGTTAACTTATAACTTCACTCTTTCTGCTTGGTTCCTTGTTGCCTTGTTTCCTTGTTTCCTTGTTACTCTGTTTCAATGTTTCCTTGTTACCATGTTGTCTTTGTTACTCTGTTACCTTGTTACCTTGTTACCTTGTTACCTTGTTACTCTGTTACCTTGTTACCTTGTTACTCAGTTACCTTGTTACCTTGTTACTCTGTTACCTTGTTACTCTGTTACGTTGTTACCTTGTTACTCTGTTACCTTGTTACTTTGTTACCTTGTTACTCTGTTACCTTGTTACCTTGTTACCTTGTTACTTTGTTACCTTGTTACTATGTTACCTTGTTACTCTGTTTCCTTGTTACTCTGTTACCTTGTTAACAAGGTAACAGAGTAACAGAGTAACAAGGTAACAAGGTAACAAGGTAACAGAGTAACAAGG